TATTCAGAGGAAGGCAATGGGAAAGCTCTTCTGAATAAAACTTACAAGAAAAGCATATCATAAGGTTGCCATAAGTCAGCATTGATTTGAAGGCAAATAACAACAATGACCCCAATGCCTTTATGATAACTTACATCAGAATAGACATATTCAAGGCAATGCTGTAGAAATATGACCCATGTTTTGTTTCACTGTTTTGTGATAAAACATGGTTGTTATTGTTGTTGTTATATTATACTGACCATCGCACTTTTTGGTACCTCAAATGTTGGACCTGTTTTGGGATGTATTTGACCTGCCAATTCCAAAAATTGCACCAGCTTTCCCCTCACAGATCTAGTTTTTGAGATACAGAATATATGCCTTCTACTAGTCTTCATCTGCATGCCCATAGAAAACCATGATGTCCATATCTAAGAAATATAAGTAACCAGAGCTGCTGCAGTCTATGTAATGCAAATTTCAGAATCAGTGCCCTGAGTAAATCTAGTAACAGGCCTAAAAACCAAGACACCAATAAAAAAAATCATTATCATCATTTTCTCAGCTTCCTCCAAAATTGAGACTCAAAAACTCATAGTTTAAAAGAACAATACAGTTAAAAACATACAAAAATCTACATTAAAATAGAGCTAAACTGTTTACACTCTTAAAACCATCTTGTACGTCAGTAAAATAATAAAATGCAATTTTAAAAGATAAAAAGCTCTCAAAAACACTTCAGTTTGTACAATACAATTTTCCCTAGACCATTACTGAAGAACTCTCCACATTCCTCCCCATCGCACGAGTCTTTTTGTCAGAGAAGGATTACGCCTTGCGAGAAAGAGGATAAGAGGCTGTGACATATCCAGCCAGGAAATAAAAGGTGCCTCCAGTTCCCTCTCTGACCCTTTTTTCTCTCCCCCCCCTCCTCTTTTTTTCTCCTGGGATTTGATCAGAAAGCAAAAGGTTTGTTTCCTCAAACCACAGCATAATGTGACAATTATTGGGTTTGGCTTTGATATTAATAATGATAATCATTACCTAAAGACTACAAGCCAATGCAAACATTTTCTAAGAGGCCCCATCCAAGGCTTGGCTTTCCTTTGCAAGATACTGCTGCTCTCAGAAGGGCCACCCATGGAAACGCCCCTCTCCCATGCACCAAAACAAGAGGAGAGTATTGTGGTTTCCTTCACACATGCTTTCCAGCTGGTACTACGGATTTGGCACACAGTTGAAGCTCTGAACACCATTGCTTCTCAGTGTTCACAGCTCACCACTTTTTCCACAATTGCTCTCTGGTTCAACAACGGGGGGCAAAAATGATACCAGAAGTATGTGTACATTGTGTGATGGCATCTGTGCCTCCCCATCATTGAACTGAAGGAAAAGTGTCCTACAATTGGGAGAAGTGTCCATCTGATGAAGTTGTAAGTTACAAAAAGGGCTAAGATAACAAGAAGTGACAGGAAATCTACCCCTGGGAAGGGAAATTCATTCCTGAAAGAGATATCATGGGGAAAAGGTAACTCTACTGAAGCTTTATCACCAATACTTGTTTCCACAAACAACATAAAATTTTCAAAATTCAATTATCACAAGAAGAGAAAGTGTGGTGAAGTCTTCTGAACAAGGAAACAGATTTTTAAAAAACCAATGTTACAGAGGTGCTAACCCTTCCCTATGCTATCCAAAACTTTTTATTAAAAAAAAACCTTGGTATATAAAAATGTACCTGTTCTGACTTACAAACAAATTCAACTTAAGAACAAACCTATCTTGTTCATAACCCAGGGACTGCCTGTTATTTGTTTTTAACTGTAATTCTTTTTATTTTGTAAGCTTGTGGAGAAAAGGTGGGGCAGAGAGGATTCAGGGAGCTTTATTGAGTCTTTCACCTATTTATATTCCACATCTACCTAAAAATCTCAAGACTGCATACTGTAAAATCAACCTAATTTATAATGTTACTAATACAATGATTTTTTGAAAGCTAAAAACACCTTAAACAATTTAACAAGTTAAAAAGACAGATTAAAGCAGTTTAAAATGATTTAAAACCATGTGCGTGTGAGGTTTGTGTAAAACCAATTAGCTGTAGTATCAAAAAAATACTTTTCAAGCTACCGTATATTCCGGCATATAAGACGACTGGGCGTATAAGACGACCCCCAACTTTTCCAGTTAAAATATAGAGTTAAGATGACTCCCATGCATAAGACTACACCTGCATATAAGACGACCCCTGACTTTTGAGAAGATTTTCTTGGGTTAAAAAGTAGTCTTATACGCCAGAATATACTGTATATTTTGTGTGATTGTAGCATTCCAGGGTCTTGGGCAAAGTGTATTTATAGCTTCAGCTATCTTATCCTTTTAATTAAAATACTTTGATTTATTTTTATTTTTAAAAGACTGTGATGAGAACTCTTATTCAGCATTATCAGAAGATGTAGCATTTAATCCAAAAATGCAATTAAATTGCAGTCCTGGCATTGCTTTGCAGAGTTCTCTATGCACAAGCTGGGTCCTTGCTGCAAGGGGGAGCTTCTAGTCTAATTCTTAAATGGAAAGCAAGTGGAAGCATGGGCACAACTTCCCCTGAGATTCCCCACTTTCCCTGTCAGAGAAGGGAAAGGACTCCTATGGCAAACTCAGTGAGGAGCTGGCTTCATTCTGTTTTTGCATCACAACATGGTGGCAGTGAACATGCCCCCCTCCTTAGCTACCCTCTCTCTGTGTTGAGAAAGTAGGAGAGAGAGAAAAGGGCAATACACTACATGTCTTGATAGACAAGAAGTTTGTGGTTCAGAGCGGGAGGAATAGCAGTGTTTCTGGCAAGGCGCTAAGCCATTTCTAAGAACCTGTGCAGTGTTGACCTTGAGGAAAGGCAGGAGGCACCAGTCAATGAGTATGTACTGGGTTTGTGCATTGGTGGCCGAGTACCTGGACAGAATACCCAGATGCACATTTAAAACCATGCAAGTACATGGTTTTAAACCCAGATGCATGTTTTACCATGGTTGTTGATGATGGTATTTAAGTCTGGCTCTTCCAGGTGCTCCTCTGCTACCTTTGTGCATTAACCCACGAAGAGTCGGAAATGACTGAATGAATAAACAACATCTCAGCCAACTTGACTCATCTCAACTTTAAGAACAATTACATGAGTCCTAGATCCAGGAGTGCTATTACTAGTGTCTTCCTGGCATTGGTAATATATCAGGTTCCCTTGGAATTTTGGGTGTGTGAAATGGAAGAGGTCTACCCCAGCTTGGGGATAGCTTCCTTCCTTCCATCATCCAGTGGCATGGGGATCACATGGTAGCATCAACCCAGGCGCTCCTTTCCTATCACCCCCAAGATTTTGGGCATTTATCAGGCTTGGTAACTAAGTGATGAGTTGGTGGATGCCTGCAGGGCCGTAGCCAGAAAAAAAATTCAGGAGGAGTTGAATTTGGGGGGGGGGGTTGAAAATTTGGGGGGGGGTTGAAACCTGCCTCCTAGCTCACGCTGAAGCCAAGAGCACAGCAGGGGGCAGAGCAGCCTTCAATAGCCTGCAGCTCCACCCTTGTCAACCACCTCCACCAAGTCTGACCTCCTTAATTAGAGCATTCAACCCCCCCCCCCCCCCAAACTTGGTTGCTTCACTACATCGGCTATTGCTGCAAGTGTGAATAAATTGTCAATATTTGCCTGAGATAGTGCTTGCAGTTCTGGAGGGACGCTTAATTTTTTGCATCTCATAGACTTAGCATGGGGATTTAGTTAACCAGTTAAAATTCATGAGTAAACCAGGTTTTTAAAAAAATCTGAAACATTTCGGGGGGAGGTTGAACCCCTAAACCGCCCCCCCCCCCTCGCTACAGGCCTGGATGCCTGGATCTGGACTGATGCATGTGCCAACTGTATTTCCATGTATTTCCATGTGCCTATATCTTTCCACTTGTATGCTATGTACAGTGTGTTTTTTAAAGTGGAGCTGAACTTGCCACAGGACTCATAATACTGTTTGAGAGAAATAAAGATGGATACATATAGAGTTCTCGCTGTGCCCACTACTAGCATACACATCCCTCAGATGGGATGTTTTCCAATGTGGTATTCTGGCCCTCCTGACCCTAAAGGGGCCCCCAATTTAGGAGGTTAAACATAGGCATGCTGACTGTTTTTTGGGGGGATACCCCAAAAAATAATTTCTCCACACTCCGCTCCCCATCCCATGTTCAAAAAACTGTGCATACAGTATAGGGAGGCTCTGCTCTCTGTCCTGCCCCACTGCAGGCATGGTTGACGGGGATGAGAGCCAGAGCCTTCTCGGTGGTGGCCCCATGGCTGTGGAACTCCCTCCCCAGTGACATCTGAATAGCCCCCTCGCTCTTTAGCTTCAGGAAAAATCATAAGACCTGGCTATTTAGGCAAGCCTTTAGGGATTAATATGACCCATAGGTATGACAAAATCTGTATAAGAACAGCAAAAGCAATTGATTATTTATTTATTTATATGTTTAGAACTTTTATATCAGGACGATTAACAGCAAAAATTCAATGCTAGACAATAAATAACATTTTAAAACAACATACATAATACAATAAAATACATATAAGTTAAATACATGTTTTAACATATGTTTTAATGTTTACAAAGCTCAGTTGGTGCTAGACTTTGGATATGTTTGATATGTTTTAATCATTTGAAAGTCTATTCAATTGATATGTATATGTTTTTTACAATTTGATAATATTGTGTTTTATTGTTATGTTAGTGTCTGAATCTGGCATTGAATTATTGCCATAGTTTGTAAGCCGCCCTGAGTCCCCCTCTGGGGGTGAGAAAGGAGGGCTATAAGTACAGTAAATAAATAAATAAAGTTATAATGGAATATAAATTTTATACAAGGTATGCCATGTAGAAAATAACAGTACCTTCCTAAAAGTATGATTTACACTCAATCGTGTACAATTTTAAGCATCAACTGTTTCCTTCCCCGCCCCGCCCCCCTTTTTTTTTCCAGGCTCGAAAAAAGAAGTGCAAAAAGATCAAGAGGCTAACAGAACTCCTGTTTCATCTCCAAAAAGACTGGTTGTATCAACTAGCAAGCTCCACTCACCAGGTATTTATAAAAATGAGAACACTGGAGTTAAAGACACTTTAAATTTGTCAGATTTGTGGCTTTTCTTACTGCATATTAAATCTGAGACTTGTGCCAGTTAAGGGATTGTGTTCAAGCCTCATTAAACTACATTCATCTGGGTGGCTGCTTCTTGCTCAGAAGTAGGTGGCAAGTTATTAAACCATAGCCACATACATAAATTTTGTCTTCATTTTTCCTTTCTCCTCTCTCTTTCTGTGCCTCTTTCTCTAACACACATGGGCACATACCACTTGTGAAGTGTATTCCAGACCTTTTGGTCCTTGCTTAACCTTCTTTGTGTGGATTTTGTTTATTTGCCCCAATTCTTGGATTACTGATATACTTTCAGGCAGTTAAAATGTTGTGCTTACTGAGAAGACAAAGCCCTACCAAAGAATGGATTGAGGAACAAAGTGACTAAGTGCCAGGACAAGATAACATATTATCAAAAGCTCTCAGCAGGATACCACTCTCTTGTGACAAATGGATGCTCCATCCAAACCTCTTCAAAAGTTCTTCATAAGATAAGAGACTCCAGAAGTAAATCTCTTCACATCAGCCCAAAACTGTCAGTGCTAAATCTACTACTCCAAGGCTCACTGGGGAAGGGCTCTTGTAGGAATGACTTCCTCTTTCATTGGGGAGGCCCCATTGTGTACATGTTTCCTCCATTTCCTCTCATCACCAGGCTGATAGTTGAAGTTTGAAGAGACAGGGCAAGGCATCCTGATCACACAATGTGATCCAGATAGCTGGTTGACTCTGTGTCTGCATTTTTCTTAGGGCATCCATCTCAAGCTTCCAATTCACCCAGATCTGCTGACAATGTACAACAAGCAGGGTAGGACTCCAGATTTGGAAACTTGCAAGCTGAAAGCCTGGAGAATATTTCTCTCTTGGCAAGCCTATTTAGAGGATTATTGCTGTCATGCATAGGCTTACTACCCAGCATATATAAGTGAAAGAAATTCCTTTCATTTTTGTGGCCCTGAGGAACCTCACCTGATCAGGCACAGATTAGCCAGGTACTGGAGTTTTGCCTCTCCCTAATAGAAGTCTCTCCACCCTCCCCTCCTTACTTTTTTTCCCTATTCTTACAATTTCCAGATCTGGAAGTTTTTCTTTCTTCCAGAATCTGCTGGTTAAAACATTCTGAAGGGCTACAAAAACCTTCATTTTACTCAACCATGAAATCTGGGACTAATCCTTTTAAAGCTCTCCAGGAAACCTTGGAGCCAGTGGCTTCTTCTGATATCCATCTGCTTAACTGGAAGACTGCCTTCTTGGTTGCAATAACATCTGCCAGAAGAGCAGGACAGCAGTGTGCCCTTTTTGTGGACCCTCCATATGCAAAGTTTAACAAGGACAAAGTAGTACTGAGACTTGCCCAAAGTGATATTGGCTTTCCATCTAAAACATGACATCACCTTACTTGCATTCAGGCAAAATCTTGCTTTGGACCTTAAGTGTGTCCTACACTGCCTTTATGTCTGCCTTCTATATTGACATGATTGCTATTCTTCACAAGTTTCAAAGATTCTTTGAATGCTAATTTTTTCACAAGAAAATTCCATCTCAATGGGTTCCTTCCATCATACACCTAGCCTATAAACTTGAAAAGCAAAATTCTCCAACATGTATCCACAGACACTCCACCAGAGCTCTCACCTTATTGTCTATCTCTCTGATGGAGATAGTTTGGAATGATAGAAATCAGACTTTTGTTATTGTTAATCATGTCGCTGCTACTATACTTTTAAAGAACTAGTATATGGAAGAAGTTTGAATGTCTGTATTGGAAGGTGTGTATTGTACTTTTAAAGGCTGTATATTAATTGATGCCATGGCCTATGACTGGTACAATAAACCATTCATTCATATTATCTTTCTGAAAGATGTGTCACTAGAGAACATTTGTATAGCGGCGATGTGGCCACAGCCTTTATCCTTCATCACACATTATAAACTAAATGTAGGGTCTATGATTGATGCTGCTTTTGGGAGAGCTGTGCTGTTTTCCTGTGTCACTAGACATTCCACTAGCTATGGTGAATAGCTTGTTAGTCTCACATTTGTGTGAGTCACAGAAACAGCATGAAAAGCATGGAAGGTTTCTTACCTGTATCTATAGTTATTTGTGTGGTCATCTCTGAACTCACCCAACACCCACCCTTCCTCTTCACACTGTGTTCTGCTCTCCATAGTTCCTTGGCTGTTCCTTTGATGTCCAGGAAATGCAGGGTTTGAGCGGAAATCTGAGTGGTCATCTGGACCAGGGGAGAAGGGCTATCACTAAAACACATACCGCTCTAAAAGTTTCCAAATGATGCAGTGCTTGGGATCAGTAAACTCCATTTGAGATGACCACATCCTTCTTTTTTACTCCACCTAATAGCAACAGCTGCTACACTTTGGCTGTGATTTTCCTAAGTGATGGCTTCTCAATATACAAACCTGTTTCTCTGACATGCTTTAAGGAATAAGGCAAGTTAGCAGGGAGGGGATGGTGGTTGCCTAGTAGTTTGCCTGCTGTAGATGCACAAATTCTATAAATGATAAATAATACATTTCAAACTGCCTTCACACTCAGCAGGGTGGCTTCATTATACCAATAGAGAGAAAGCAAATTGTAAAATAAAATCTTTAGACAGAGTAAAACAATTCTGAATGAAGCCACTCTTATTAAAAGTTGAAAGTAAGGCAAGCTGTTTGAAAAATAGTTTATTCATCCTGAAAATGATAATGGCTAGATTGCTATAAATTTTAACAGCAACAACCTCACATACACACGCGCACACAGAGACACATCTTATACTTTACAAAGTATATTTCTACAGATATTAGGGAAGGAGAAAAATAATCCTGACCTATTGGCACATAGTTATCAGACACGTGCCTATGCCCAGAGGTTTTGCTTTAGTTCCACGTCAACAGATTCAACATTGAATTGCAGAATTGTTTTCTAAATCCCTCCATAATTAAAAAAGGTACTTGACAAGAAGAGAATAAACTACAACCCTGAGTCCTGAAAGAAAAAGACACTATATTATTTCTAGGGGTGTGAGCAATTTCATTTAGTCTTCACTGTTAAATGAACCAACTTGATTTGCATTTCTTAGACTAATACATGGAATGGATCACCCTTATCCTGACGACATATTATGTTTTGTGAAGCAGTTGTCATTTCAACTAATGTGTAGGAAATGCATATATTTGTACATTTCGGGTGTGTGTATATATATATATATCCATGCACACGTGCGAGGGGCATTAATTAAAGATTTCCCCTGACCCACTTTCTGTGGACTGAGAGTAATGAAATTTGGCATTATTAGTCCTTCTCTCCATAGGTACCACCTAGGGACACACACTTCTCCCATCTTGTTAAGCAACTGTAAACACCTTGCTTGTAGAAATTGACAGGTTGCTCCAAAAGCCACGTTGCTACTTCGGAAATCAGAGTTTCATCATCTGAAAAATGTTTGCCCTTCAAAAATAAATAAGTGGAAGTCCAATGGTGCAAGGTCTGTTGAATAAGGGGGATGCGGTAGAATTTCAAAGCCACACGAGCATGCTTCCATTTGGGCAACAGGTGACTTATGAACTTATGCATTGTCTCGCAGAAGGTGGACACCTTTGGTGAGCATGCTGCGTCTCTTGGTTTTGATGGCCTCACGCAATTTCCATAGCAGTGAAGTATAGTATGTCTCAGTTATCATGGTACCCTTTGCTAGGAAATACATCAGTATTACTCCATGCTGGTCTCAAAATACTATGAGCATGACCTTTCTTTGAAGGCAGTGAGTCATGATGCTTCCATTACATCGACTGGACTTTAGTCTTAGGATCATAGTGATGGACCCAGCTTTCATCATAGAATCATAGAATCATAGAATCAAAGGAAGAGACCTCATGGGCCATCCAGTCCAACCCCCTGCCAAGAAGCAGGAATATTGCATTCAAATCACCCCTGACAGATGGCTATCCAGCCCATGTTTAAAAGCTTCCAAAGAAGGAGCCTCCACCACACTCCGGGCAGAGAGTTCCACTGCTGAATGGCTCTCACAGTCAGGAAGTTCTTCCTCATGTTCAGATGGAATCTCCTTTCTTGTAGTTTGAAGCCATTGTTCCTCGCCCTAGTCTCCAGGGAAGCAGAAAACAAGCTTGCTCCCTCCTCCCTGTGGCTTCCTCTCACATATTTATACATGGCTATCATATCTCCTCTCAGCCTTCTCTTCTTCAGGCTAAACATGCCCAGCTCCTTAAGCCGCTCCTCATAGGGCTTGTTCTCCAGACCCTTGATAATTTTAGTCGCCCTCCTCTGGACACATTCCAGCTTGTCAATATCTCTCTTGAATTGTGGTGCCCAGAATTGGACACAATATTCCGGGTGTAATTTAACCAGAGCAGAATAGAGGGGTAGCATTACCTCCCTAGATCTAGACACTATGCTCCTATTAATGCAGGCCAAAATCCCATTGGCTTTTTTTGCCGCCACATCACATTGTTGGCTCATGTTTAACTTGTTGTCCACGAGGACTCCAAGATCTTTTTCACATCTTGTGTGATCAATCTGTTGAAAAAGTCCTCCTGGTTTTCATGGCACATCATCAATAGAGCCTGAGAGCATTTCACTCATTCCTGCTTCTGGAAAGGTGTGAGCAGGCAGGGGACCCATCGAGCGGATACCTTATGCATGTGAAGATGGTCTTGGATTATTTTTTCCCATGGATCCCACACTAATCTTGACATTTTAGGCTAGGAGGTGAATAATTATGCAGCGATTTTCCAAAATGGTGACCTCGACTTGCTGGATGGTGTGTTCATCAAATGGGGTCACCCTGGAATTGGAGCTGTTTGCACCGAAGTCTGACCACATTTGAATTGACGATGCCAGTTCTTGACTACATCATATGATGGGGAATCATTACGATAAACCTCTTTCATCTTATGGAACATCTCCTTTTATGTGTGGCTTT